AAGTGTGCCTCCATACTTACAGAGCAGGGCATTAAAAGGCTACATTCTCTTATTTGTTTGCATGACATTGCTAATTTAGGGGAAAGGGGAATTTAAAAGTTTAGTTCATTTAAAGATCTCCATATTTTAGACAATGCAACATGAGGGGGAAATTCTGACTCAATTAAATTCAAGGTTTATATCTCCTGAGAAAATATTTTGTTGCTTTAGCTATGGTATTTTTTGTTTAGATAATGATATTTTCTCTACAGCCTAGAGAGCAAAAAGTGCTAGTAATAATCCAATTAAATTTACAAATCTTATATTGATTTCCTGTAGCTCACAACTGAACTGCAAAATATTTTGATAAGGGTAAATACTGAAGTCCTTATTTAAGTTTTTCTCAGGCAAATTTTAATGAGATTGTGTCCCATGAGAGTTTGCCTGTGTAGAAACTGAGTAAAGAACTCAGGAGATTGGGCACAATAGAAAGATATGTTGTTGAGAGTATGTTGTGAATAGTAGTGATGTAGCCCAGGGGTTTTGAAAGGGTAAAAAATGATTGGGGGGCTTGGGATTCCCTTTCCTCACCAATCAGGCCCTGGAGGGTGGGGAGGGCTTGCCACCCCCACTGGAGACCGTGGCCCAGGTAGAGAAACCAGACCTGAATTAAGACTCACCTCTCCATGTCCCCTGATTGGCCCCTCTTGCCACCTGGAGAGGGGTAAAAGGGGCAGCACAGCTGACTTGGAGGATGAAACCGGCAAGGGATGACAAAGAAGGAGCTTCAAAGAGCTGGCAAGAGCTGGGCTAGTGGGGTGGGAGCAGTTGCCCCAGAAGAGCCCGAGGGAGCAGGATCTGCAGGTGGCGGTTGAGCTCTCAGCAGCACAGCATGCGGCTGGCAGGAGAGGCTCCTCACTGGGCTCCAGGATCCCCAGCAAGAGGCAGGGCAGCATGGCATGCAGCTGACCCGGGAGGCTCCCAGCTCAGTGTCTGGTTCCTCCAGCAAGAGGTTGGGTAGTGTGATGTGACACATGGGTTTCTGGAAGGTCAAAAGCCCTAGCAACCTAGAGCATTTGTAACACTGGTGGTTGAGTGGCAGAAGTTCTGCCCATCCTTCTGGGAGAGCTGAGTTCAAGTCCTGGCTGGGTCAGGTAGGGGTGAATGACATGACAGGGGAGAAAGATCCTTGTCAGAGGGGATGGGGAAGCTTTCCCTCTTCCTGCCTCCCAGGTGCCTATACTCTATATCTGTTTGTTATTCTGCACCTCATATTTTGTGTATCTCATATTTGGTCAAGCAGTATCTTCTGTTGTGTCTGTTTGCACCTCATATTTTGTCAAACCTGTCTTTTTGTTAACTGAATGCATATGCCTGTGAATGTGAATGCCTAACCTTTATTGAATCCCCGTTCCACTGGGGTATTGTAGTGCCTCCTATACACCTTGGTTTATATATATATTATGTTCCCACCACTGTTTCCCTCATTAAAAGGTGTATGGTTTAGTCCCCATTGGTGACCTGTCTCTGCTCTTTAGAGGAAGGAGGATCCCTACATCTCCCACAGCATTCTTGCACCTGCTCTGATCCCTTCAAATGGAGAGGGGGTACATCTTGGAGTACCCCCCAGGTTATAGTAGGCATAAACAAGCTGAGTGTGTCACATACCTTCTCTCATGGAAAATATCTGTGAAAGGCCATAAACAGCATTGCATCCTATGATCAGTTACATGTACCTGGCTACTTGAAACACCCAGTGAGTATGGCCATAAGTCCTTGAAAACTGAAGTTCAATAATGCCTGCAGCCATCCTGGAAATCACAGGTTGTCCAATGCTTCCTTGCAGTTCCAGGCTTCCCATACCAGCTATGAAATCCTGGCTTCATAAAGTCATTGGGATTTTTGCCATTGACTTGATAGGGCCAGGATTTCAACCCAGGTGCGTGACTTGCTCTCTCACTGTATTCCCTATATAACCCTGTTTGTACTTTGATCTTTCTCTGTTGCTACTTCCATCCAGCTATGTTCTTATCATCATGGTACTGGAGATCCTCGCATTCAAGAAGTCTACTATTGTAGATTCTGCCCCACTGTTACTTCTGGCAATATTTACTTAAAATGAGTTTTCTTGCATGTCAGGACTATAGTCTGGGGAAGTGATGCATACATATGATGTCTAGCTCTAGTTGGGAGAGTGTTCCATTCTACTTATGATCGCAGTCCAACATTTGGTCAGCGTACTGTACTCCAGCAGATACCTTGTGTTGGCACCCTTGCACAATGATTTCTCAATATAGAAGTACACTGCTTCAGCATTTGCACAAGGAACTCCCTATTTGTTCCAACAGATCCCCTCTTTGCTCCATAGAAGAAGGAAATATGTAGATCAACTTTTGTAGACATAGATATCTTTTCCGATTTATATTTACTTTTTTTCACACAGGATATTTCACCTTCACAGTGACAAATATCCTCCTAAACTAAAATGATTATAGGTTGAATAATTTCACAACATTTTAGGAAAAACAGATATAAAAAAATACAAAAGATAATTTTGTAAAGTGCTTTTTTATTATGCATTGTCAACAGTTAAATGATGAGTTGTCATGTCATGCAAATTAGAATAATGTTAAGAGAGAAAAAAAAACCCCATTCTATTCCATACATATGTTAAAGATAAAAAGTGCTAAATCTGCTTAAAACTGTGCAGTTTTAATGAAACTGAAAAGCTGGCTCACTTAAAATACTTTTTAAATATTTTACTAAACCAACTTTCTTTTAACTGCTCCATTTCTTGTATCTTGAATATTTTCCCTGTTCTACCTGCAGTTTTCTTTATACTATTTCCTTTCTACTTTTACACACCTGGTTTTCTGTCATGCAACCTAATGCACAGTAAACATTTCAAAGCTCTGAAGGAACATAATTTTTTCAAGAAGACAGCAAAATGAGAAGTGGAATATCCACATTATTTGCCAATTGATAGTGGCCCCTATTCAGTAATCATGCCATTTCAAACTGAGCATTTAATGATATCACTAGGAAAAAAAACCCTCTTCTATTATCAGCTAACAAAATAAATGTACATAATATGTCACGGAGCAACAGCTCATTTACTTACTTACAATAATAACAATACATGAAAAAAATAGTTGTAGAAATATTTTTCCTAGTTTTTGTGCACACCTGGTGCTTTACCTCTTAGTTCATTACAAATGTTGATTTGATGTGTGTATTAGAATGAACATCATATTCTGAGATATTACTTTAAGTATATGGAATTGCAGAAATATAAATCATTTGCATTCTGAACTGAGAAAAAATCCTTCATTTTCTGCCTCTCTACTGACTTAGACATAATTAAAGGAATAAAGTAAAAGTATTGGTGATATACAATACAAATACAAATCTTCATTTACAGTCTGGATATTAAGTTGTTGAAGAAATGTTAATAGAATAGCTATACTAAAGAAATGCCTAATCTAATTAATTTTAGACAGAATAACATTTTACCCCATACATTATAAGTGAGAAACAATTTTAGCTGATCATTTTACAGTTTTATTCATTTTCATCATAGCATCTGTTTCTTTTAATTTGCTCTTCTATCGTGAGCTGCTTAGACTTGGCTTTATCTCCTTGAGAAGATGGGACAGCTATACATTTTGACCTCAGTAAATCTAAACTTGTGCTTATGGCATTCTCTGACACTTCTATTATTTCAGCTTCTTGACAGATATTAATATCATTCAGGTCTGTATCATAATCTCCATATTTTTTTGAATATGGGCTGGGAGTGTTTTTAATTATGTCTACAGAATTTAACAGACCGCAGTCTAAATGCGTATCATCTTTTTCAGGAAAGGAAGGTGTTTTTACAGTATCAGATAAAAGAGTAGTTAAATGCTTGCCATGTTTTGGTTCTTCCCCACTACTTAGCAACTCAGTATCAAAAGGGGATGTTATTTTGGTGATCTCCTTTAAAACTAAATTGCTGGTGCAAGATTTTTGACAAGTGGCATCTTTATTAAATTGAACAAGACATTCTGAGGTATCTTTATCTTTGGAATTTTGCTCATCAAGTGAAACAGATACAACATCTTTAGAGTCTCTCTCTTGAGATTCAGATATGTCAAGTAGTTCTGCATTTCTAGGCTGATTTGCTATCTTTTCAAATGCATATTCAAACTCAGTGCAATTTGCATGGTTAAATTTTGTTATTGGTTTAGACATAGCTGAGAAAGATGTTTCCTGCCTACAAATGCTGAGATGTGACAAAGTTGTATAATAGTTATTATTATTATTCAAATTGATCTCTTTATGATTCCCTAGTACTGTCTGATCATCAGTATTAGTAACCTGTAAAACTTCTACACCTCCAGTTTCATTAATTTTTTCATTTGGTTTCTTTTCAGGACTCTGCACAACCACATTATCACTTTCATTAACAACCTTCCCACTTCTCTCTTTATTCTCTGATCCTTTTGTTTCATTCATCTTATCTTGTACATTCTTATTTTCCTGATCTTTTTCTTTATTGCTTGCTTCATTTATCTTTGCTGCATTGATATTTGTAGCTGCCTCCCTCTCAGACACAGAGCTAAAAGATGCTGGTTGTTTTTGTTGTGGGTCAACGCTGTCATCTTTCTTTTGTTCTTTTTTCTGCCTGAGATCGCTACAGGTTTTTTCCATGTATGGTGCCTTGTTATTGCCCAGAGATATATTTGTGTGTATACTACAGGCTTCTTCTTCAAAAGCATCTGGGGGCCACTTTGGTTTATTCACTTTAGCCTCATCTTCAATAGAAAATGTTTTTTTGGGTGATGCATCACCTTTGGAAGGGGGCCAGGTAATTTTTAATTTACCTCTTTCTGCAGATTTTTTCAAATTGTCCTCCAAAGTTTCAGGATACACATAATTGGTACATGAAGACACATCTGAATCAATCTGAGCACTGAGTTTAGATTTAATAGGAGTGTCTTTACTGGGATTTACTTCTTCAGCATAAACATTACCCACTGAGCTACTTTGGTCTTTCCATAATTCTTTATGTTGCTTGTGTCCAAAACCTTCATCATAATTTCCTTTAGATTTAAAAAGTTGCTTAAAATGGGGTTTGCAGTATATTTGTCCATGGAGAGATGCATAATTTCCCAAGCTGCCAAATTGAAGACAATTTATCAGATTCATAAATGTACTAAGAACATTCAATTTTAGTTGACATTTTAAGTACCCATAAATTACAGTATCTGTAAATATCTTTATACATATTTTAGCAAAAAAAGAGCAAAGTTTATTTGAGATGTGGTTCTGACCAGATAAAAAGCTTAAATAATTATAAATGTATTTAGTGCAAATTTCCATAAGTTCTGAAAGTCTGAATAGTAGTTTGATGGTGAAATCAAACCTTAATAATGTTTTAAAAATGAGTCTAAATGGATCATTTCCTACAGCAATATCAACAATTTTGTAAGGTTTAATCTATCTATTATAAACTACTGGCTGCAAAAAGGAATGATCTACAATACTTAATGGTTTTTTTTTTTAATTTAATGTTTGTAACTGTTTATTTGACATCCGTGGGGACTGAAGTCATTTGCTCTCCTACAGAATAGGTAGAAAACATGCAGTACAGTGCAAGTTTCTGTATGCTACTCTACTAATGCTTAGTATATTTACTGAATGACATGATTTACTCATATTGGGCATGTCTATATGTGCACAGTAGACTAATTTACTGTGTAGTAACATGTCACCATCTACACATGCATAGCAACTGAGTTGGTGTAGACTAATTTACCGTGCTGGAGTAAATTACTGCACGTAAATGTATGTGTAGACAGTGATGTCGGGGTTAGTTTAGTCCAGCTCAAGTTGCACTAGATTTTCTTGAGTTGCACCAATTGCACATGTAGACATGCCCTTTCATGTTTACTTAGTCCTGACAGGAAAATTCTGACGAAGTTCACAGGTCTAGGAGAAAGCCCGCTGTTCTTCCCTCCTTGATAACAACACGTATACCACAACTTTCAATCAAGAACTACAAAACACTTTATAAAAATGGATAATTGTGGCATCATTTCATTTAACATATTGGGAAAAGTGAAGCACACGCTGTTTATCCAAGGGCACAGACCAGGGCAGTAGAAGAACCTGGGTCACTTGCCTTCCTATCCAGTCTTTTATGCATTGGAGAAAAACAAGTAAATTTACCACTTGTGACATCTGTAGATTTTCTATGGATACATTTATAGTTCCTTCTTACCTTAGCTTACTGCTGCAGTGGTGACATCGGAAACAAGATTTATGAAAAATCTGCTTGTCGGCAATTAGACATTCCATTGGATAAGCTTTCTTTTGACAAAGCGTGCACACTTCCTTTTCCTGAAGTTGCAGTTTCTAAAAGCAGTTTTTAGAAGGCATATGTCAGTCTTCAGCCATGACTTAGAATATATTTCTAACAGGTATTATACCTTATTATAGTACATGCTCAAATTGTTTTATTATGAGGAAAGCAGCAATACTGTTTTTCCTTAGTTTATCCATGAAGTGGTATCTAATCTACCAACTTTAAGGCTCAATTTCAGTTCAGCTAGTAGTAATATGTTGAAAGATCAAGACTGCTTGCCTTTCTCAGGTGAGTAAATTCATTAATTTAAATGGAACTGTTCACTTCAGTTAACCAAGCATAATTTGGCTCTTTATATGTAACATCATTTGTTTCTTAAAGTGCAGTAGTATAATAAAAGGTAAGTTAATTAAGTTGAACTGAATATATCTATACAGAAACTCTCTCTGATTCTGCAGTGTGACTTAGATATGTAAGCCATGGGTGAATGTTTGAAATTCAGATTAGAAAGCTTTGTTTAATTATACCAGAGGCAAATCAAGAACCTCTGTTACTGCATTAACCTGCAAACTATGCATGTTGCAAATATGATAGGCACATAATTATTTGTACTTTTTAGAGTTTTCATTACAAGCCAGGTATTTTATTCAATTAAGTCACAAGACAGAATTAGCTACAACAGTGATATAGCTAATTATATGAAATCCTGGCTTTTATGTAGGATAATTAATTGTAAGGGAAATTGGTTATATTGCAAAGTACAAAAAGAAAGTTTATTTCACAGAGATGAAGGGCAAGAGGAAAAAGAGATAACAGACAATTTACTGTGCTTAGTCAAATCTACACTTCTGTTCTGTCTTGATTTATGACTTGCTATAAAGTCAGTACTAGCAGGCAAATACAAATAATATATATAACACCACCCTGTGGTCCAAATTCTCTATCAATGGAAATGGGAAATACTCCATTAATGTCTATTGAGTAGTATGCTTTTACACCAGTAGAGAATTTGGATCACAGTGGGGTTATATACATTATTTGTATTTGCCTGCTAGTACTGATCTTATAGCAAGTCATAAATCAAGACAGAACAGCAGCATAGATTTCCTGTACACTTGTACTTACTACATATCTCCACTACCTATAACAAGAGCGCTACAAAATAGTCCAGAAGAAGTGAAAAATCTTCAAGAATTGTCTGGGGCTTAAATGAAGCAAAACATCTTGCATTAATTAATGTTGGCCATGATATAAGGCATCTTTGGAGATGAGTCTGGATTTAATTTAAAATTTAGATTTAGCTTTCCATGACTAAGCTAGATATAATGAACCAAAGCAAACACTCATTTTGTTTAATTTTCTTACAAATGGATAGGTACACAGAAAGCACAGGGAGACACAGGCCTTCTTTAAGTTGGAAGGATCTCAAAGATGGGCCAAGGTGCTTTGATCAGACAGTGAAGAGGGAATGTGCCCCCAAAACACCAGCTCACTGAAGCATTACTCTGTAGTTGGACAACAAGGCACTAACAGTCTGCCTCTAAAAGACAATCAGCAGTAAAGCAGAAGACATGTCAAGGAGATGAATGTTGCAGAACAATCTATTGCGTAAGAACATCATACTGTGGTGCCCCTTGGAAATTTATCCCTAAGAACTCCAAGGTGCATGTACTTGTACTGGCACAAATTTGTGCTACATTGCTTTATGCCCCATCACATGTCCTTGCATCCATGCTTGTGTGTGAAGCAAATCGTTTCAGGTAGGACTAGGGGAGGCTGAGGCCAGCACCTGTGCTTCCCTCCACAGTACTACCTGGTGTCCTGGTGCAGCAGAGGCTCAGATCCAGCATCACTGAGCCTGGCTGGCAGGCAAAGCATTGGTCTGGATGGCCAGCCCTCGTTTTTTTTCAGCACATGCTACTGATGGTCAGCGACACTTTTTTCCCCAGGAGTTTCTTTTTTTTTTTTTTTTTTTTTTTTTTTTTTTTTTTTTTTCTACCAAGATTTTCACAAACCGCTTTGTGGTGCCACAAGCTACACATAGGGAACATGAAAACATGGGCCACACTGCAAATTTGGGGGCCCCACACACCGCAGATTTGTGGCACCACAAACCAGACACTCCTGCATATGGGGACCCACCCCCAGAATCAAATTTAAGCCACATGCTCATACTGAGAAAAGATCACCCATGTAAGTCGTCCTACTGAAGACAGCTAAGTGCTTACCAGTAAGCTCTTAAGGTTCATTTAAAGTATGACTATTATTGCGCTATTACTGCTCATTTAGGAAAGAGCTTCTCATCAGGAACCAAGTATTAAGCATTTCCTATCGATACAAAGAGCTTAACAAAAACACATTGCTGAGGTGTTTTGCTGGATCAGTCAGTGTTCTTCATCTGAGGGGACTAGGAGGCCAGTCTTTTTACTCTACTGCTCTTCTCATCTCTGCCATGGCACATGTGGATGGACTCACTTGCGAGCATGTACACTGGTAACACTCCTTGGTGAAGGAAGTAGAGCCTCCTTCCCAGAAGCAGTTACTCACTTTTGATGATGCCTGCAGAACTGTTGTCCACACTGCCATACTCAAAACCCACAGTTCACCTTTTGGCATTTAGCATTATTGCAAATTCTCTTTTGTGTCCTTAGTAAAGTAGTTCCCTGCCTTGTATATTTTATGCCTTTTTCCATCATCAGGTACAATCACAGACTCTTTTCTGTTATTCCTCTTCCTTCACTTGTCCTCCTTCTCACCTGGCCTACATTAAATTTCTTCATTCCTGTTCTTATATAGTTGATATATATTATTGGAGGAGCTAGTAGCAACTTATAATTAGACTGTCATATATATATTTGTGTGTGTGAAAAATATATATTTCCATTATAAAAGATTTTTACAACCTTCTCTTTAAGAAGCTTTCATGCCTTTGTACTAATTGGCAGGCATTAGAATTCAGGGTACAAAAAGTTGAAATAATTTCAGCTTTTGAGGAAATAAGTTACATAATGCACAATTTTGCAGCCTATCACAATAATGGATGACCATAAATATTCTGAGACCTCACTCCTACAGCTAC